TGGGATTACAGGTGTGAGCCACCGTACCTGGCCTCCTTCCCTTAATTCTTTAGAGTCTATCTGAACTCCAGAGCCAGGGAAAAACATTATTTTAATAGCTTCTCTTTGACTCTGAAAATCACTGGCCAGCGTGAAGTTTGCTAAGATCTTTTTACCTGGGCACTGATATTCACCAGGGTTCAGGGGACTGGCTTTGTCAGTGTGGATCCTTGGTACCGGAGGGAAAAATTTCTGGAGGTTTTCTAGATCTTTGAGCAATTTAATTCTTCTGAGACGGAATATCCTTTTTTAAAAAAATTGATTTATTTGTTTCAACGGGTTTTGGGGGAGCAGGTGGTGTTTGGTTACATGAATAAATTCTTTAGTGGTGATTTCGATATTTTGGTGTACCTGTCACCTGAATAGTGTACACTGTACCCAATGTGTAATCTTTTATTCCTCACCCTCCTTCCACCATTTTCCCTGAGTCCCCAGAGTCCATTGTAGCTTTCTTGTGCCTTTGTATAAGACTGGATATTATTCTACTTGAAATGGGGGTAACGGGGGTGTACTCTGGTAAGTGTGAGGGAGAGAGCAAACAATATCTCAGTTAGAGGCAATCATTAGGTTGTACCAGATTGCTACAATGCCTGGCATCTCTTGAGCTGATAATGTCCTTTCACCTTACGCAATCTTTTTAGACATAGAAATCATTTGTAGTCTGTTGTGCGTTATACTCCCCTTAACTTCTTCTTCTTATGTACTGTCTTTAATTATGGGGTTGCAATTACCCCTTTTGATATTAAAGTATACCATCTTAATGCATTTCTTCCTTTCCCTTGTCATTTGGTGACTTCCTTGTAATTGATTTGTAAGCTATCTACACAAATAAAAACTCATGTTGATTTTCACTAACTTTTACCCCTATCTTAGAATCCAAGCTCTCAAATTCACCTTGTCATCTCTCCTAGAGTGACAGTCACACCGTTGGTAGGGTACTTGAGTAAATACATTTTGTCATCTTCATTCAATGATGTCTGTAGCCATTAAAATAAACGAAAAAGACAGTTCCATATGTAATAGTAGGAAATGATATGAAAGGTATCTAGCTCTGTGAAAAGGAAAGCAAGGCACAGAGTGTGTGTATATTTAGTATGCTAACTGGTGGGGAGAAATACTAAAAATAGACACACACACACGTATGTATAATTGAATCTGCTTAGAGTATTTATGAAAAGATACACAAAATCTGGTCACTGTCGTGGTCTCTGGTAAGGGGAATGAGGTGGTGGAGGAGGGAGACTTTTGGCTATAAATCCTCTAGCATCTTTTAGTTTTATGCCATATGCATGTATATCCCACTCAAAAATCAATTCATTCTTTTAATAGATATGATAGAGAATGAGAAAGGGCAAGAGGAAAAGGTTATGCTCCTTGTTAAGACTAAAAGGCATATCCCTTAGGAATTCACTTAATTTTGTCCTCACTGCTACCTGAGAGGACAACTCAAATCATTCGTGCATGTGTTAAATGACTCAAAATGGTGAGAAAATGTTGCGGCTTCCTTGGCTCAGAGCCTGGTGCCTCCAGCACTGTAATTCCAAACTGTGTTTTCCATTCTGCATTTTGCAGAACAGTTGCTTGGGTGTCCCCTCTCCATCCTCCCTCCAAAAGTCCCATCAGCCTCATGTTCCTCCAGTGGCCGGTCTTGTCCTGTTGATCTTGACCGTCATTCATTTGATCACCCATGGACATAGTGACACAGTTTTCTGCTCAACTCACTGACAGGATCACCTGACTAGTCTTTTTTCCATATTTTGAAAAACTCTACTCACCTACTGGTTGATGTTATTTCTTTAAAGGATGTCAACCCCTGGACTATCACAAGTCCCCTTTACTAGAGGCAAATCCTCTCTTCTTTGTCAAATTTCAAAAAGATTCAGAAACACTGAAATCTTGCCCTGCTGGCAGGTCATGGGACTGCGAATGTTTATCACAAACCAATATGGTCTTTTTATGTGAGCTCATAAGTGCTATGATTGTACCATCTGACGTTCGAGATGAAGCATCTTCACTGACTTGTCCCTGGCATATTTTAGACACTTGCAAATTAAGCCAGGTTTCTCAACCACTGCACTATTGACATTTTGAGCCTAGTAATTCTTTGTTGGGGGAGACTGTTCTGTGCACTGCAGGATGTTTAGCAATATCTCTGGCGTCTACCCATCAGATGCCAAGAGCACCTCCCATACTGTGCCAACCAGAAATGTCTCCGGATGTTGCCAGATGATCCCAGGAGGACAAAAATCACCCCTGGCTGAGCTGCGCCTTCTCTGTGAGGCTGCAATTGGAGCATTATGCCTGCTTCTTTGAAAACCATACTCTGTTTCTCTAGCTTACATGACTTCTGTGACATGTGTGGAGGGATTTTTTGCACACACCAAGCAATTCTCCAACTCTCTGAACACCAGCTGGGTGTCTTACCATTTATTCTGACACTGTATACCTGGAGTTAGTGCCAGCTCCCACAGGTTAAGGGCTCAGTCCTACCACACTGCCCCTACTTAAGATGTCAATTGCAAATCCAGCCTTCTGGTATTTCTGATCAACCAGCTATAAACTTGGGGTCACACAACCCCCTCTTCATGTTTGATAATTTGCTAAAATGGCTTGAAGAACTCAGGGAAACACTTTAGTTGTATTTATCAGTTAGGATATTATAAAGGATATAAATGAACAGCCAGATGAAAAGAGACTTAGGACAAGGTATGATGCTGTTTATTATTTGTCTTCACCATTAGAAGTAAGTTCTGTGGCTGAGTCGTGGTGGCCCACACCTGCAATCCCAGCACCTGGGGAGGCCAAAGCAGGAGGATTGCTTGAGCTCAGAAGTTCAAGACCAGCCTGGGAAGCATAGTGAGATACAGTCTCTACAAAAAAATTGGAAATAAAATGAGCCAGGCGTGGGAGTGTATGCCTGTATTTCTAGCTGCTCAGGAAGCTGAGGCAGGAGGATCGAGTGAGCCCAGGAGCTCGAGGCTTCAGTGAACTATGATTGCAACACTGTACTACAGCCTAGGTGATAGAGCAAGACCTTATATTAAAAAAAAGAAAAAGAAAAGAAAAGAGGAAAAAAGTTCCATGAGAGCAGTGTTTAGTTTTGTTTATCACTAGTGTGGTACCTACCCATCATAAATACTGGATTAGTAAATGAATTAGAGTGGAAACTCTCTATGTAATAACACCAGGAGGCTCTGGACTGGGTGTAGTTCAGTCACTTTCTATTTGAAGAACTACCTTTGTAGCCACTTAGACTAGAAGACCTGAGAAGGTGCCATTGGTTCTTATGTTGTTTTTGGTCTGTCTGTCTGTGTGTGCTGGGCTGGTCTTAGCTCAGCAAGGAAAGAGCTCTTTGATACTTAGCATGGGGAACGGGTCATGCTAAACTCCTATCACAGCTTGTCTCTCCCTCTCTATTACATAAAATATAGCGTTTAAGAGTGTGCAGTGGTTTTAACAGTTAGTCTGTTTACCACCACTATCTAGTTCCAGAACATTTTCATCATCCCCAAAGGAAACCCCATAGTCATTAAGCAGTCCTTCCGATTCTACTCACCCCTGCAGCCCTGTGACAACCACTGATCTACTTTCTGTCTCTATGGATTTGCTTATTCTGGATATTTCGTTAGAGATACAATGTGTGTCCTTTTGTGTCTTGGTTATTTCACTTAGCATGATGTCTTCAAGATTCATCCATGCTGTAGCATGGAACATTCCTTTTTTTCATGGCTACATAATGTTCCATTGTATGGCTATACCACATTTTGTTTATCCATTTATTCACTGGTGGACATTTGAGTTGTTACAACCTTTTGACCATTGTCAATAGTGTTGCCCTTCACATTTGTAGACCTCTTTTTTGAACATCTGTTTTTGGTTACTTTGGATATATATCCCGGTGTGCAATTGCTGTGCCATGAGATAATTCTACTTAACTTACTGAGATACTAATACACTTTCACAGTGCTGTACCAGTTTAAACTTCCACTAGGAATGAGTGAAGGTTCATGCTCACCAATCCTTATTTTTTTTTTTTTGGTCAAGTATTAATATTATTATAGCCATCTTAGTGAGTGTAAAGTGATATTTCACTGTGGCCTTGATTGGGGTTTCCCTAATGACTAATGAAGTTGGTTAATCATCTTCTCATGTGCTCTTTGGCCATCTATCTTCTTTGGAGTATGTCTTTATTTTGGTGCTTACTCTTTCTGGGTTGTAATTGCATGTGAACACTTTTCTCTCTCTTTCTTGACCATAGCTACCTCTTTTTTTTTTTTTTTTTTTTAGAGATGGAGTTTCACTAGTGTTGCCCAGGCTGGAGTGCAATGGTGCAATCTTGGCTCACTACAACCTCCACCTCCTGGGTTCAAGCCATTCTGCTGCCTCAGCCTCCTGAGTAGCTGGGATTACAGGAGTGTACCACCATGCCCAGCTAATTTTTGCATTATTGGCAAAGACGGGGTTTCGCTATGTTGGCCAGGCTGATCTCAAACTCCTGACCTCAGGTGATCCACCCACCTCAGCCTCCCCAGCTGCTGGGATTACAGGCTTAAGCCACCGCACCTGGCTACTGCCTCATTTTTAAAATAAAGCTAATACACTCCTTAAGAGACGTATTGATTTTTGGAAATTAGGGCATTGCTCAAATCTTTGTTAACATAATTTTAAGTTTTTCTCATTTTTCCTTCTTGCCATCCTACCTCATTTTAAAATGCAGCATGTAAGCCTTAGGCTGATTTCCCAAAGTGGCAATTGTAATTCAGTTCTCGTTTTCTGAATTTTGACATCTCTAAGTCTAACCCATCATTGTACACTATGAATTTCTAGGTTTAAAGCTATTTTAAAGTCAGCTTGTTTCATACTGATATAGTAACGTAGGCAAGTATTTGACTTTTTGCTATTTTAGAGCCAACAGGTGACTATGAAAAGTAGCTTCATTACACCATTTGCTTTCTTTTCAGAAAAAGTTGCCTTTGACAACACTGGCTCAGTGTCTGATGGAGGGCTCAGCTATCCTGGGAGATGACACACTTCTTGGGTAAGGTGACACTTTGCGTGGGTTGGTGCCAAATCTAGGTAAGTCCCCATCCATGAAAAGGGGACTAGACTCTCAGGAAAACACCTGAATTCTCTCTGGGGACTTTGGTGGAAAAGAGGAAGATATTGCCAATGGGAAATCAGAACTCTTGGCTCTAAAGTCATATCTGTGCAGTGAGGCAAGATCCAAGTAGAGAGATAAACATGAAACTGGCGAAGGACGATTGAAATCCTTAGGGCTCTGGCAGAAGCAAATATGAAACGTCTTAATTCAAATGTCAGAACTTATGGGATTCTCAGAAAAGCAGCCCTTACTGATGTTGAGCTCACAATAAAACAAACTGAAAATAGAATGGTCACAAGAGAGCATCCGCAGACACAATCAGTAGGAGAGTCGGTACCCTGAGAACTAAAAATAATAGAACTATATAGAAGAAAATGTAAAATCATTGTTCAAATGGAAATTTAAAAAAACAAAAAAAGAATCCTTGACAAGAGAATTAAACGCTATTAAAAAAGAATAGGCAGGATTGCAGAAAAACCAAAGAGAACTTTCAGAAATTATGCTAATAATTTTTAATGATCTTTATTCGAAAGAAACTGAAAAGTATACACAAAGAATTGCTGAACTCGAAAACAGGTGTAGCCACTCTGAATGAAGAGAATGAAATGCAGAGATAAGGATGTAGGCATTCTTAAGTTGAGAAATATGGGTGATAGAATGCAAGAGTGTAACATTCCATCTAATTGGAATTCCTGAGGAAGAAATAGGGAGAAGGGGAATTTTGTGGTTGAATTTTTCTTTTCCAGATTTGAAGAAAACCATGTCTTTAGATTTAAGGAGCACAAAATGTTTTGATTGAGGTCAACAAGAAGAAATTCATCCCTGGACATTTAGTAAGACCACAGATTATCAACAGAAAATAGAAAAATGTCAAATTGACCTGAGGGAAAAAAGAGAATTACTATAAAATAGCAATGAAATGGATAGTGAACTCTTCATCAGTCACAATGAACACCAGCAGATAATGGAGTACTATGTTCAGGTATTGAGTGAAAATATAAGAAACCTAGGATTGTATGATAAAGTAGGGAATAAGGATATTTTCAGGCAAAGAGTTGAAGAAGATACTACCTGCATATTCTCACTGAAAGGGCTAGTTAAGGCTACGTGAAATAGATTACATCCAGAAGAAAGATGAGAAGTACAAGTAGCAAGGTAGGAAAAAAGTTGGAGAATGTGTTGTAGGGGAGGAAAATTTTTTTTTTCTCTCTAACCATCTTAGGTTCTTTGGTTGGGCTCTGAAAATTAGACTGACAAAAGGTGGATTAACAAGAGAAAAGCATATAAATTTTATTAAAATGTGTAGTACATGTACCTGGAAGAATGCAGGAATGAGTAAATCAAAGCACAGTTAGAACATTGGCTTATGTAGTTTTTTTTTTTTTTTTTTTTTTCTGAGACAGTGTCTTGCTCTGTTGCCCAGACTGGAGTGCAGTGGCACGATCTCGGCTCACTGCAACCTCCGCCTCCTGGGTTCAAGTGATTCTCCTGCCTCAGCCTCCCGAGTAGCTGGGATTATAGGTGCACACCACCACACCCGGCTAATTTTCGTATTTTTGGTAGAGATGGAGTTTCACCATGCTGGCCAGGCTGGTCATGAACTGCTGACCTCAAGTGATCTGCCCACTTCAGCCTCCCAAAGTGCTGGGATTACAGGCATGCTTATGTAGCATTTTAAAAAATGGTAATATTTTTTAGAGAAATGACAAGACAAAAGAGAAGGACTTTAAGTTTCTGTGGTTGTAGAATCAGTATTTCAAGCTCTTGTATTGTTTGAAAGGAGGATCAAGGTATTACATTTAAATTTTATGTCCAAAAAATAAAAATAAATTAGTGTCAAATATGCATGTTAGAAAAGTAAGACTAGCCACAAAAAGAATAGAAATAGGATATATAATTTTCAAACTAACAAAGGATGCAAAGGAAAATAATGAAAGGGACTAGAAGAGAAAAAAGTAAGCAAAAGAAAAAACCATAATAAATGGAAAACAGAAAATCAGGGCGGTAGCAATTCTTGCATATATCTCTGCAATCATAAGAAATGTCAATGGAATAAACTCAGCTGTTTAAAGAAAATTTCATGCTGGGGACATTGCTCATACCTGTAATCCCAGCACTTTGGGAGTCCAAGGTGGGTGGATCACTTGAGGTTAGGAGTTTGAGACCAGCCTGGCCAACATGGTGAAACCCCCCTCTACTAAAAATACAGCCGGGCCTGGTGGCATGCCTGTTATCCCAGCTACTTGGGAGGCTGAGGCAGAATAATCATTTGAATCTGGGAGGCAGAGGTTGCAGCAAGCCTAGATTGCACCACTGTGCTCCAGCCTGGGACACAGACCGAGACTCTGTCTCAAAAAAAGAAAAAAGAAAATTTCAGGTGGACAGACATGAAATCCTGTTGTATGGTATTTCCGAGTCATGCCTATAATATAATGACACAGCAAGGTTGGAAGTAAAGATGACAGATTGAACATGCATCTGATTTTGTCTCCTTCCAAAAATCCACTAAAACTACAATATGGACATTTTTTTTTTCTTAAAAGACATAAACCCACAATAGCAGGAAGAAACAGAAAGACGAAAGCAACACAATTTTGTGAGCTGCAAAGCATATGAATAACTGAGAACTAACTTGGCAAGTCCCAGAAAGCTGATTCCCGAGCCAGAAGTAGATATGCAAAGATCCCATGTAAATTACATCATGTAATACTTACGGTACTCAAGAACTGGCACCAGGGATCTCTGGAATAGTGGGTCTTTGGGGGTGGAGTGGGTGATTAAAGTCTTAAATGTGGCTGAAAGCTTTTCAGTTACCTCTTGGATCACTAAACCCTGCTCCATCCACATGTCTAGGAGGCTGTCATCCCCCCACTCCCAGCTGACTGGAATTCTCTAGAGGGGATAGAACAGAGCATCTCTAGAATGAGGGACTGCAGGTGCAGTGGAGTGCATGGGTACCATTCGGTAAAGATGAGGCTTTAGTACTAGATGTGGATGCTGTTACTCCTCAGCCCTCTTCTTCGGCTCATGCAGCCCCCAGGCCTTTACTCTCTAAGCAGAAAATTAGAAGAGGTTTCTCTGGGGAATCAGATCCGTCCAAAAGGAAGAGCCTAAAGATCTGAGGATGTTGGGGGGTGGAGGGGGTCAGGGCCTCAGCAAGTGACCCAACCACATCTTTCCACAAGAGTTCACATACTCTGAGCTTTTTAATCTCCACTTTTAAACATAGAGAGGCACCAAAGATCATCAGACATCTGAGGAAAGTCTCTAACCTGGAGACCAAAACAATCAGGTGGTTAAATTCAGCTTAGAAGAAACGGAAGTTGTTGAGGGGAGGAAAAAATTTGTAGGAAAACAATCACTTTTGTTTTCAAGTGGTAAGGGAAGATAATATGTCCATGAAATGAAAAACAGGATGTTAATACAAAATATTTATGGGAAAGAAACAGCCAGAGATCAAAAGGAAGCTCATAGAAATGAAAAAATATGATAGCAGATATGAAATTCTCAGTAGAATGTTTGGAAGATAAATGTGAAGCAATCATCTAGATAAACAAGAAGACAAAGACACAGACAGTAGAAAAATTTATAAAATTAGAGGATAAATCTAGGAAGTCTTATGCCCACATAACAGGAATTCTTAGAAAAGGAGAGGAAGAAATAATAATAATAAATAATCCAACAACATTTTCCAGACCTTAAGGACATGAGTTTCTACACTGAAAAGGCTCATTGAGCTCCCAATACAATGGGAAGAATTAAGCCTGTGCCACAGAGCTCACCGTCGTGTATACTGGTGACAAAAGATTCTACAACCTCCTAGAGAGAAAACATGTCACATTTCTGATACGAAGGATCAGAAACATGAATGCTTCCAGACTGAGCAAAAGCAGTGATGGAAGATAGAAGATGATTAAGCAGTGCCTTCAAAATTCTGAAGGAAACCATGCTCAGCATAGGAGTTTAATATTCTGCCCAAGTTTCAATCAATGAGAGGGTAGAGGAGAATGCCGTGACATATGTGGCCTCAGAAATTGACTTCCCACCTATTCTTTCTCAGCAAGCTAAAGCAAGACAGCAAGATGTGTCCTTAGTGAGGGAGTGATCAAAAAGAGAGGTAGACTTAAGATAACAGAGTGCCCAACACAAGACAGAGGGAGAGAATCCCAGGGAATGGTGAAGGAAGATTCCAGGAAGACAGCTGTGCCTTAGGGATAGAGGAAAACTCAGTCAGCACTGAGACAGCTCCAGGAGGGATTAGTTCAAGAAGATGAAATTCATTTACATAATATATGGTTCAATATTTTTTTGGTAATATTTTTATTTTCATGTATAACAGAAGAAACAAAATTAGCACACAAAACTCATAAATTTGATGTTTATCACTGCTTAGGATGAGGTTTAATTTTTTTTTAAGTAAGTTAAGCAAATTTTGGTTTACTATCTTAAGAGACAAATTAGGGAAGTGGCAGAATATTTTGAATTCAACTGGGTACACAGAAAACAAGCAAGCCAAAACAAGGCAATTATTAACTCCAGGGAGAACAAATAACAACTCCAAATAAGGGTTGGCAAGGGCGTAGAGCAATGGGAACTCCCATTTGTGCTAGTCAAATTTTCACACATGCAAAAAGAGGCTGCAAAAGCATATTTACTGAAGCACTATATGTAATAGCTCAAAACTCTTGTTTATGGGACAGCTTAACATAACGGTGGTATATTCATAGGGATATGTGCAGGGAAAACCAATAATTATAGTGTACTACCCAGATTAACTCCAAATAATATGGAGTCAACATGTAATTTAAATATAAGCATCTATTAATATAAATAGAGGGATGGAGGGGAACTGGAAACCGCTAAATCCTCATTTTCTTTAATATCATTAATATTTAATTTTTTTAAATTAAGTGTTAGAAATATGGAATAAATATCAGAAAATCATATAAAAGACACCATTAAAAAGATACAAAGATAAATACACATCTGGGCACTGATGTTTGCAGCAGATAGGAAAAAGAATTAAAATCTGCATTCACACACCTGTATATGTGAAATTCCTACAAATAAATTGAAGTAAACAGATCCTAATACAAAAATAGCCAAGGAATATGAACACACACTTCATGGGAGAGGGATATTCAGTCTCACTAGTAGTCAAGGCATGTAAATTAGAGCCAGAATGAGATAATAATTTGTATTCACCAGCTTGGCAGAAATTAGGACACCTACCAGGACCAAGGGTTGGCAAGGGCATAGAGCAATGGGAACTCCCATTTGTGCTAGTGAAATTTTCACACATGCAAAGAGACTACACAAGCATATTTACTGAAGCACTGCATGTAATAGCCAAAAACTCTTGTTTATGGGACACCTTAACATAATGGTAGTATATTCATTCATACAATGGCATTCTCCATTGGAAAATGATCTAATTCTGCATGTACCAACATGGATAAGCTCCAAACATAATGACAGAGTAAAACAGCCAGGCAGGGTGTGGTTTGCTCATGCCTGAAATCCCAGCACTTTGGGAGGCTGAGGTGGGTGGCTCACCTGAGGTCAGGAGTTCAAGACCAGGCTAGCCAACATGGTGAAACCCCGTCTCTACTAAAAATGCAAAAATTAGCCAGGTGTGGTGGTGGCCTCCTGTAATCCCAGCTACTCGGGAGGCTGAGGCAGGAGAATAGCTTGAACCTGGGAGGTGGAGGTTGCAGTGAGCTGAGCTTGTGCCACTGCGCTCCAGGCTGGGCAACAAGAGCAAAACTGTGTCTCAAAAAANAAAAAAAAAAAAAAAAAAAAAAAAAACAAGTAGCATCAGGATACGTTCAGTGTAAAAACCATGCATGTAAACTGAACTAAGCAAAGCAGTCGTATTATATATTGTATGGAAACACATACATGTAGAGTTAAAATGTGAAAATACGAACAGGAAAGGAATATCCTCATTTTAAAATAACTGTTACCTCTGCTTGTACTTTTGTTGAATTGAAAAAATTTTCTTTTTTTTGAGACAGGTTCTTGCTCTGTCATCCAGGCTGGAGTGCAGTGGTGCTACTAGGCTTACTGCAGCCCCTGCCTCCCAAGTATAAGCAATTTTTTTGCCTCATCCTGCCGAGAAGCAGGGACTACAGGCATACGCCACCATGCCCGGCTAAGCTTGGTGTTTTTAGTAGAGATGGAGTTTCCACCATGTTGCCCCCGATGGCTTGTAAAAACTTTTTACTTGAATTTCAGTTAACATGGGTACCAGACAAGGAGAGAATGTCCTGTATACAATTTGGGTAGAAATGAACATCTTTGAAATAGTATGTTCTGTCATGTGGGAATATGGCATGACTTTCTACTCATTCAGGTCTTCTGTCATTGGCTCATTATTAATCAACTTTTGGAATTTTTTTTTCCATTGGATAATTGTCTGTATATCCCTGTACTAATTACGCTTTCATGGCTTAGGAGTCAGGGTTTTCTTTCTATCAGGACCTGCTGACGTTGAGTTTTTGCGTGTGTTTAAAGATGCTGGTTTGTTAGGGGGCAGATTTTAGCTATGCGGGGTTCCCCCTGGAGAGAGAAGCTCTGACTGTTTTTAGACATGTGAATTCGGCATGTTTGCCTGTTTTCTCCACTGTCCCCTTGTGCCCCAGGCACACAGCGAATGGCACCTTTCGGAGGAACTGATTATTTCAGAAATGCAAAGAGTGGGAACAGGTTGGCCCAGGGGACGCCATGGAGATCAGCCAGCTCATTAACACTGACTTGTGAAAGTGGACAAGTGAGCCAAGGGGTGAGGGGAGGGTAATGCAAGTGAAATGTTGTCCTCTAGAGTATTCACTGTATGTTTCCCCCTTGGATTACAGGAAGATGCTGAAACTCTGTGGTGAGACCGAGGACAAGCTGGCCCAGGAGCTGATACATTTTGAATTGCAAGTAGAGAGAGACGTGATTGAGCCTCTGTTTTTGCTGGCAGAGGTAAGCAGCAGGAGTGAGGCCCGGCCTGAGTGGGGAACGAGGTACCAAGCAGGAACCCCTCAGTCATTCTCCTTCCAGCTTTCTGTTGTATCTGTCGTTTAACCTTCTCTCTGATTTTTTCTTTTTCTTTCTTTTTTTTTCTGAGATGGAGTCTCGCTCTGTCTCCCAGGCTGGAGTGCAATGGTGCCATCTTGGCTCACTGCAACCTCCTAGGTTCAAGTGATTTTCCTGTCTTGACCTTCTGAGCAGCTGGGATTTGAGGGGCCCACTATCACACCTGGCTAATTTTTGCATTTTTAGTAGAGATGGGGTTTCACCATGTTGACCAGGCTGGTCTCAAACTCTGGACCTCATGTGATCCGCCCACCTCGGCCTCCCAAAGTGCTGGGATTACAGGTGTGAACCACGACGCCCGGCTATGACATTGTTTTTCTTCAGAGATTCTTACCCAACCACATGGTCAAGATTCCCAAATATGTCCTTTCAGCATTTGCTAACCTGTCTCCTGCCCATCCTCTTCCCTGCAGGTATTCCTAGAAGTAAGTGGAGAGCTGGCAGCTTGCCCCGTTCCTTACCCACAGCCTCAACTGCTTTCACCCCTGCCCTCCACCCATCTCAAGTCTTCAGTGATGTGAACAGTAGCCACTCCTTAGCAGGATTCTGGGGGCCCAGGCCTAAGAGACTCTTTAAGGCCTCCTGCAGTTTATGGTTTTTTGTTTTTGTTTTTGTTTTGTTTTATTTTGTTTCTGAGACAGACTCATGCATTGTCACCCAGGCTGGAGTTCAGTGGCACGATGTTGGCTCACTGCAACCTCCACCTCCCAGGTTCAAGTGTTTCTCCTGTTGCAAGCCTCCCAAGTAGCTGGGATTGTAGGCGCATGCCACCACACCCGGCTAATTATTATATTTTCAGTAGAGAAATAGTTTCACCGTGTTGGCCAGGCTGATCTCAAACTCCAGACCTCAAGTGATCCACTCACCTCAGCCTCACAAACTTCTGAGATTATAGGCGTGAGCCACTGTACCCGGCCACAGTTTATGTTTATATGGGTTCCTTCTCTTTGGACTTTAAAGGACATTCAATTAAACCATTTTATTAAAAAGAAACCTTAATGTCTATGCCAGTTTTGCTAGCTTCAGTGAAGTGAAAGCTTCTCAAGGGAGACAGGAAATGGTTGGGGAGCCTTGAACCCTGGATCCCTCTCAATTGTTTTTAATTGGTCATCTGTTAATAGATTACAATGTGAAACACTCCAAAATCTGAAACTTTTCAAGCATCAACATGCTACTCAAAGGAAATGCTCATTAAAGTATTTTGGATTTCACATATTTGGATTTGAGATCTCCCTTGAGAAGCTTTCACTTGACTGAAGCTAGCAAAATTGTCACATAGACATTAAGGTTGCTTTTTGATAGAATAGCTTGAGTGTCCTATTGATGAAATTTAATATTATTTCATAGCCACGTGGGGCCAGAAGCTATTGCATGAAACTGCATTGCCCTAGACCGTGTCTGGCTTCCTCTCTGGACCATATCCACCACCTCCACATCCCCTGCCACTCTTTCTGGGACAGAGCTATGGGCAAATAATTATGTATGGACCTAAAAGTATTCAAGGAGAAAATTCTGGATAAGGTACCTTGGCATCGGCCAGCTCTGGGCTTCTCAGGTCATCTCCTCGCCTAGAGCATTCACGAGACCCCCTCTGTGCCTTCAAAAGGAGGGTCCTGGCTCTGGCCAAGCCTGAAGCAAACCAAGAAGCAAGTCCAGTGTGGGTGCTGACAGTCACTTGACGTGGCTCATGCAAGACACCCAGCGGCCCTCCAGCTTCGCTCCGGGGCTGACTGGTGACTCAGGTTGCGCAGGGATGGTTACACTGCTCCTTCCTATTGGAAGTTGTTACACCCAGAGCATGACTCATCCCTGCTTGGGAGAGTGAATAGAAGGCACTTCAGAGAACATTGGATTCTCCTCGAATTTTTTCCTTATGTAAAAACCGCAGCCCAAGATAATTTCAGTTCAATTTTCGGCCAATTTTCGTTTTGCATTCTCACATCCTGCCCTACTTTTTTGCTGGGCCTGGAACCAAAATCCTGCACTGGGGTGTTCAGTGAAACCATTTTTAGAATGAAAAATATAAAAAGAGCATCCACATGCAACCAGAATGGAAGAACTCGTAGCCGAGAAAAGCCATGATGGCAATGTTTATTCATTATTGACTTTGGAAGAGTCCTGCTTTATTTCTATAAATACAAACATTTGCTTCCTTTATTTTTATAAATATAGAATCTGTATCCTAGCTGCAGTCATAGCCTCTCTGCGCTCTTCCTCCTTCGGCTGTCCGTTTTGCCTCAGGTCTTTGTGTAAGACATGACTGCGTGGCTCCCTTCACTTCTCCCCACCTTTGGCCTTTGTGGAAGTAAAGACGGATGTGGTTGAGCCCTGGTTGCTTTTGGCCAAGGTGAAGGCAGGCAGCCAGGCCTGCGTGAGCGGAGAAGCACGGGACCTGTGAGGTGGGCTGGGTTGATGGAGAGCCTGGCTGGCGTCCAGCAAAGATGGAGCAGAATTTAGCATGCAGGACAGGGTATCAATAAATTCATCTGATGTTGGTCAAAATGTCCAAAGTCTCGCTTATGCAAGAGAGGAAATTCTGGAGACCTGATGTGTAGCACTGTGTAGTGATCGTCAATGATACTGTATTGTAGACTTGAAATTTGCTAGAGGATAGATGGTGTTCTCACCATCAGAAAAAGAAAATACAAACTAGGGGATGTGATGGACATGTTGATTAGCCTGAGTGCGGTAACCATTTCACAGTGTGTACATATGAAAACACTAAACAATACACCTAAAAAATATAGAGTTCCTGTTAGTTAGACCCCAATAAAGTGAAAAGGGAAAAAGGATTTCATCTGAAAATAAGGATTGGGAGACCTCTAGTAAACTTGTTGGGTGATTGTCAATAGTTCTTTAAGAATTGTTCTGAGGAATGTTTTTTGTTTTTAAATGGAGTCTCACTCTGTCACCCAGACTGGAGTACAATAGTATGATCTTGGCTTACTGCAACCTCTGCCCCCCTGATTCATGTGGTTTTCCTGCCTCGGCCTCCCAAGTAGCTGGGACTGCAGGTGCAGGCTACTACGCCTGTCTAATTTTTGTATTTTTAGTAGAGATGGGGTTTCACCATGTTGGCTAGGTTGGTCTCGAACACCTGACCTCAGGCGATCCACCTGCCTTGGTCTCCCAAAGTGTTGGGATTACAGGCATGAGCTACCGCGCCCGGCCAGGAATAGTTTTTAAAGAGTTTATCTTGAGCTTCAGTTTGATTGTATCCTTTATGTCCTGTAACCACAGGTGGAAATCCCAAATATCCAAAAGCAGAGGAAACACTTAGCCAAGTTGGTGCTGGACATGGATTCCTCACGAACCAGGTAGAATCTCTTTACTTTCTTTTTTGCTTCTTTGAAGGAACAGTGATCATATTCAGGGAGGGTGGTTTTCAAGTAGGTGAGTGTGTTGTCATTCACCAAGTTTTTCTTGACACCTACTGTGTGCCAGGCACTGGAGGTGATCATGGCGAACTCAAGACACTGGGTCCCTGCTCTCATGAAGGCTGCAGTTGAGTTTTGGAGACAATAGGCATGTGAAGAAACAAGACAGTCTCAGAAAGCTATAAGTCATATAACAAATGTAACACAGGGTAGCTTTGGAAGGGGATGATGGAGAAACGGAGCAACAGCAGTAAGGGTAAAAGAGAAAAAGCTTTTTTGAGGTGGTATCACTTTGGTCTTAGACTTAGATGATAAGAAGGTGGCAACCATATGGATATCTGGGGCAAACCATCTATGGCAGAGGGCAAAGTAAATGCAAAGGGCTGTTCAAGGTACAAAAGGAAGGTCAGGATGGTTGGGGTGGAAGGAGCAAAGGGGAGGGAAGTGGGAGATATGAGAGCCAGGAAATAGGATGGATGCTATGTCCTGTCCGTAAGGGGAGATTTCGCATTCTGGGAACTCATTCGCCTTTTCCTGAAGCTAATGGTGTAGGTATCCCCTTTCTGCCGCCTTTCTCTTAAGTCCTTTGAGAGAGCAGTCAAGTTTCTATAGTGCCGTCCTTCCATGCCCGTCTTCCAGAGTCCACCAGAAAATTCCTGTAGTAGCAGTTGGGCGCCAGAGGCCCTGAGATGGCATTGCCTGTGGCCATCAGAGCAGAAATTGTGCACATATGTCTTTTTATTTTTTACAGTGGGGTATATGTATATAAGTTGAAAAATGCAGGTGCACGAATATTGATATGGAAAGAGCTCTTTGGTTCTACCTTAGGTTTTTCATAGGCTAGCTTTATTTTTTATTTAATTTTTTATTATTTAAAAAAATTTTGACACAGGGTCTCACTCTGTTACTCAGGCGAGAGTGCAGGGATGTGATCATAGCTCACTGCAATCTTCAACTCATGGGCTCAAGCAATTCTTCAGCCTCAGTCTCCCTAGTAGCTGGGACTACAGGCATGTGCCACTATACCTGGCCAATTCTTTTATTTTTTGTAGAGAGAGGGTCTCACTGTGTTGCCCAGGCTAGTTTCAAACTCCGAGGTAGGACAGTTTTCATCATTTCCACATCTTGTTTTCATTTTCTTGAAATAAAGAAACAGAATAGAATATATTTGTGCAGAGAGGGGTAGGATACAGAGTCCTGGAACTGGAGTCAGAAAGTCAGATTTCAAGGCTCAGACCAACTAATTTTCTAGATATGTGACCGTGGTCAGGTCACTTAATCTCCCAGAATATCCATTTCTTCACCTGAACACAGGGAGTAGCGTGAGTGGCTTTGAGTATTGATATCACTTCCCAAGTGTTTTGTAAAAAGAAGCTGATACCGTAAGTAATTGGTGCACTGGAATTCTGCATCAGGAAGAATAAAAAGTACAGAGAAGTCTCCCAAGACCAGACATAAAACCGGTTAAATCAGCGAAGAAACAAGGGTTTCTTTGGTTAATTTAGTGTTCCCCAAACCCCAGTCCACCTGAATGATTTTTGCCATCTGTGTGGATACATCTTTTAAAAGAGCTGATTACTTTTGCAAAATAAATCTGTTTAAAAAAGAAATCCTTTAGGGCTACCATAAATTGGAAAGCAGCATCCTTGGCTACAAATATCAGGTAAGCATAAAAGTGAACAGTTGAAAGCAAGCCAATGTTATTAAATTTTAGAGCCTGTCGACTATGGAAGAATGTCATCCTGAGGCTCATCTCCCTTTGTTAGAAAAGCAGGGAGGTGGGGCGTTGGGTGGTTTTAAAATTATTCCGATACAAATCTGAGGCTATCTCTTGAGTGTGCTTGGAAGAATAGAGCAGAATTCGTAGGAAGTATTGATTTCCTATTACTTCTATGACCTTGTGCCACATACAATTACATCCCATAATATGAGCATTCAAGTCCTCTATTCTGGGAGTCGTGTAAGATGATTGAGAAAATGCACATTGCCCCATTGTTTTCAGGAGGCGGACACCATGCTCCTGGGCGGAGTGACTTCCTTCTCTGAAACCTGGGGCTTAGCTTTGAAGTCTTTTCTTTGCTTCTACAGAGAAAACCCACATTTCCACCACAGAGCCTCTTGTTAGAGGGCTGAATGCTAGTATCAAAGCATGCCATTACCATCCATATTTTTGTTTTGTCTTCTTATGAGAAGGAGACTTACTCCTGGTCATGCTGATGGTCCATTTTGTCTAGTGTTATGCTTTCAATGGTGATACCAAATAGTGTTTAGGTTCTGCAAACATACACACCACTTGGTGTCATTAGGGACCTCTCACCTGTGATTTAACAAATATTTATATATCTTTAGCTTATTATCTCCTGTATACTAAAATCTGTATGGAAATTCTGCCTCCCCTATGCAAATTTCTGTTCTCATAAACTTCAACTTGGACCCTTTACAACCCTTGTTGTTTTAGACTAAAAAAGTCCTTTCGCATTGTGTTCATATAAACTTGATCCTCCTCCTTTATCATATCAGTGATTTTTCATAGCCCACTTTGTGTAGTTGTGAGTTTAGGGGTAGGGAATTGCTTTGGGGGATTGTTGACAATACAGTCCCCTTAAAAACTCAGTTGATTTCCCAAAGCCTCAAGTTATAGATTCTCCATCAGTATGAGTTACAGGCTACAGGATGAAAAGGGAATTTTTAGCAAAGGTGTATTCTTTGTTTCCACTTTACTCTCATTCTGGCCGTTTGAAGCCTGAGTCTATCTGTCTTGAAGGACCTTGCCGAAAGCCGTAAGACACGACTTCTGCCATTTTCCCTAACTCCTCATGCTTAGCCAACAGGATGGCTGCATCCCAAGATGTAGCAGTGAGAACAAGAGCAAATGCCGCGCTATTGAACAGCAGGGTATCCACCAGCTCCGCTTCTGGAACAGCTGGGTTCTTAATGCCCTCCCATCCCTCATATTTCTCCATAAAGCCAGTGGCACAGGTTAGCTTCCCTTCCTTGCAGCATCCTACTTCTAATTACCAAAGATTTCTTTCATATTGTTCTGTCCTTCATGAAATACGCTCTGCAGAACTACAACAGTGAATTCCACACAGAGACACGCTCTGCCTTTCAAGACAGGAAGTCGCTTTTTGTATATTATCAGAACATCTTGAACAGTAGTTCCATGACTGGATCTTTAATTTCCGCCGCAATTCTGGTGCATACTGCCAAATCCAACTAATTTATCCATTGTTTAATTAGATCCCAATAAGATGTGTGTATTCGTCACTATCGAAGTAAATCTGGCTTGTCTGCCTGAAAAGCCGATGATAGAGACCTCAGTATTCTCAGAGAAACTGATGCTTGTAGGAAGCTTTATGCTGAATTAAAGGTTGTGAATTGAATTGAACGATACACAAATTTCTTTTTTTGTGATAGGTTTGGTTTAGCAGTGCTTAAAGAAGGAGTCCCATTTTTCTTCAAAGTCAGCCTGACTTTTTTCTGGTCATGTATCTCAAGGTTAACTCTCCTGAGTCCTGGGCACATACACATTCCATTTCTGCTGAACCAGCTGCTTCTGGGTCCAATGGACTGAATTATATCTCCCCAAAATTTGTATGTTGAAGCCCTAACCCCCAATGTGACTGTATCTGGAGAGAATTTCTTTAGGAGAACCTTTTTAAGGTTAAATCAGGTCATAAGAATGGGCCCCTGTTTCAGTAGGATTGGTGGCCTTATAGGAAGAAAGAGTTATCCCTCTCTACGCACACTCAGAGGAAACCTGTGTGAGGGCAGAGGCAGCGGCCATCTGCAAGTCATAGAGGTCTCCAGCCTCCAGAATAGTGAGAAAATAAGTCTCTGTTTAAGCTACCCAGTCTGTGGAACTTTGTTATGGAAGCCCTGTCATCTTTGGAAGTGAGTGAACTAGTATAAGACAGGAGGATTTTGGAGTGGAAACTGCACAGCCTATGGAATTAAGAAGTGGAATTCGGGAGGCGGGGCAGTGTGAAGTCTCCTTGGAACTGGCAGGGGAGTCTTGATGGCCCTTAAAACTCATTCCTCATCTTTCACCTCTCCTCATACAGGTGTCTTTTTCTCAGATCAATTTCTTCAAGGTCACTGGTTGTCCAGTGGACTCTTGTCTCCCCATTTTAAGCCCTCTTCCTTTTGCCCAATTTTGAAAGTGCCGAAATTTGTCATTTCGGCAAAAGTCCAGTCATTTGTCTGGATTTAGCTCAAATACCTGCTCCCATGACCCATGAGTTGGATCAAAGTGAGGAAGGATGGCATAGGCTTGACTTGGATCAGAGGCCCTTACCTGGGCCATTCACTGCCTGGGTCATGGAGAACCTGGCAGTCCCCTTTTGAACCACACATTAGTGCAGGAACTCAAAAAGTAGGGGATGCCGGTGACAGAGGAAATGGCAAGACTAGACAGATGGAACAGTGAGTGCCTCACTGAATACAGTCTCCTGTTTGCTTTTTTTCTTTCTTTCTTTTTTTGAGATGGAGTTTCACTCTTCTTGCCCAGGCTGGAGTGCAGTGGTGTGATTTCACCTCACCTCACCACAACCTCCATTTCCTGCGTTCAAGCAATTCTCCTGCCCCAGCCTCCTGAGTAGCTGGGATTACAGGCACACGCCACCATGCCCAGCTAATTTTGTATTTTTAGTAGAGACAGGGTTTCTCCATGTTGGTCAGGCTGGTCTTGAACTCCTGACCTCAGGTGATCTGCCTACCTCAGCTTCCTAAAGTGCTGGGATTACAGGCATGAGCCACTGTGCCCAGCAATGTTTGCCTTTTAAAATTCTTCTTCTGGACATTCTGTTGTCCTGAACTGACCTTGCATTTGCCTTCTTTACACAGTCCTGATACCTGAAATTTTAAACCCTTAGTCCTCACCCTTCTCTCGTATCTCTCCCAAGCCTTCATTAAAGCTGTGTCCCGCCTTCATCTCCCCCAGATCACGTAGTCACAGCCCTCTTTCCGCAAAGAAGGATGGTGGAACATCATCAGCTACTTTAGTGGGAAGAAATGAGCCTTCTGCTCTTCCATTTTCAGAGCTCAAAGTTTCCTTGGGCTAGTGTCCCTGTTTCTTCTCTGACAGAGTAGTCCACCTCTTGAGTTTATGTGTACAACAGATGTCTGGAAAGACTACCATAGCTTGAAATTCACAATTCATGTAACTTTTCCCAACATGACTATCTGTACAAAATTCATCTCACCTCTCCCAACATAAGTATCGGTACAAAACTTGTCTGTTCACATGACAAGAGTTTACCTTGATGTTTTGCTATCTGTGTTCTATAAAGAGAACATTTGGACATCTTGTCACTGTTTTAAAATATCCAAATAGACCAGGCACGGTGGCTCACACCTGTAATCCCAGAACTTTGGGAGGCTGAGGAGAATGGATCACCTAAGGTCAGGAGTTCAAGACCAGCCTGGCCAACATGGTGAAACCCCATCTCTACTCAAAATACAAAAATTAGCCGGGCATGGTGGTGTGTGCCTGTAATCCCAGCTACTCAGGAGGCTGAGGCAGGAGAATTGCTTGAACCCTGGAGGCAGAGGTTGCAGTGAGCTGAGACCGTACCACTGCACTCTAGCCTGAGTAACAAAGTGAGACTCTGTCTGGGGGGGGAAAAAATAAATAAATATATATATATGTATATATATATACATATATATATATATACATATATATATATATGCATGTATATATATCTTAAAATAGATTACTAACATATTGTAAATAAAATTTCTTACAAAGAGGGAAAAGGTTTATGTTTTTAAGGTATTGGTATATTGACTACAGGATAAAATTTGGAGAAAAAATTGATGGGATTTAAAGAAAAGAAAGAACTTGGGAAAATGTCTCCATTTTAATATACATATATTTAATATAATTATGTTTTAAAATAAGTTTAATCCTGATTTACAAAGCCATTAAAATCTACTTAGTGTTTGTAGCAACTTTATATATATTTTTAACACATATATTGGTTAGTTACTTTTCCTTTAGGTCAGATGGTGGTTGTAACTTAATTCCATAATCTACTATTGTATTATAGTCATTGTCTAAGATATAAATTATAGCCATGGCATCTCATATTTTATTTTCCAAAACTCCACAACACTTTAATACTTTGTTTGAAATGATTCAACTGGGAGAGTATTAATCAAATACATCACATATAGGGTAAACCTTTATAAGAAAAAATTACCCAGGAATTCTTACTAATCTTGATCTGTTCATTTTTTTCAACTTAGATTTTGAATCATCTTTCAGTAGAATATTTCCTTTCTAGTTTGCCCTGAATTCATATCTTGGAATCAAGAATCTTTCGGAGAATATGTGTTCATCTCTAGAGCTCCAAGTCAGCTTGATGTCTCAAAACCTTTTTAAAGTCATTTTCCTGTGATTGCATTCTTTAAGTGACAGAGAATCCTCATTTTTATTTCTTTTTGCTAACAGCAAAGAGACTTTTAGTTTCCCTTTCTTATATTATAGAACCTTGCATTCTTCGGTTTTTCCTGCAGATAGCAAAAGAGAAAAGAATAGTGGAGTAGAGAAAATATTAAATGATTAGATTCTCGACTCTTGACATGAGAATGACGTTCCACTTTCTTCCCCCGCCTCAGAGGCTTTAGACTGATAGTCTGAGATCCAGATAGAGCCCTCAGAGCTGTCTTGTTTGGTCTGTACTCGATTGGCCTGCATGGTTTTTAAAAGAAGTTATTTGTTGCCACATTTCATTGGGAGAGTTCACATGATAATTTTCACCTTCTCTAGTCAGTTGAAACATCTGGCAACCGGCAGCCCAGCTTCCTGTCCACCTCAGCCCCATCAGCTGGAGCTTAAGAACAGCTACCCTCTCTTAGACTAGATAACACCCCTCCTACCAAGTTCCCAGCTCCTCCCTGTCCCTCCTGACTTCCCAAGACTGAAGCCAGCCTTGGCTGCTGTTTGTCCTCCTGATTACAGGATTGTTTTTCTTAGAGCTGTGAAATAGTTTCATATCTCATGTCTCTATTACAAGTAGGAAATAGAGGATCTTGTGGACTAGTTTTTAAGATATTGGCCCATTTGATTGATTGATTTTTTAACTTGCTGGCCTCTATAACCCATTGAGTTTACAGTCTCAGGAGAGGAACCCACTGCTGAGACCTAATTCAGATACTACTATCTAGCATAATTGGAACTTTCACGTCCAACTTTTGGTAATTCCCTGCCGATAACACAGCAGCCAGAAGTATTTGTACTTCCCCCTAAAGTTTTCTGAGAGGCTTCCTCAGAGGGCTGCATTTTTAAGAAAGCACTCATAAGGAATCTAAATGTTGCTGTAAAAATGGTTTTGGGCTTACCAGTGGAGATTTTTGCTACCAGGTTTCTTTTTAATCTTATCTAATCTTTTTAATCTTTAATGTCTGCTCACTTAGCATGCATTACTGGCTTCGGCCAAGGAGGTGAAGATTTCCAAACTGAAATTTCCACTGGATAGGCAGGGAACTTAAACCAGTGTTAGAGACTGTGCTTAAAAGGCAGTGATAGTTATTTTGAAATATATAATATGCAGCATATTACTATAAACACCCTGATTAAACTTCAAATGTCTCACTACAGAAAATCATGAGTATGTGAGGTGATAGATATGCTAACTAGCTTGATTTAATCATTCCATACTGTATGTGTGTGTGTGTGTGTGTGTGTGTGTGTGTACACACCACACACATATCTCTCAAAACATCACATTGCACCCATAAATGTATAGAATTATGATTTATCCATGGAAAAAATAACATTAATTGGCTGGGCGCAGTGGTTCACGCCTGTAATCCCAGCACTTTGGGAGGCCAAGGCAGGTGGATCACGAGATCAGGAGTTTGAGACCAGCCTGGCCAATATGGTCAAACCCCATCTCTACTAAAAATACAAAAATTAATTAGGCATGATGACGTGCACCTGTAGCCTCAGCTACTCAGGAGACTGAGGCAGGAGAATCGCTTGAACCCGGGAGGCAGAGGTTGCAGTGAGCTGAAATCATGCCACTGTACTCCAGCCTGGGTGACAGAATGAGACTCCATCTCAAAAAAAATAAAATCATTAATTTTGCTGAAAAGACAGCAATAGTGATTGTCATTTGGCTTTGGTGTTTGGAAGACCATAGAGAAAATGGTGACAAACTGGGGAATGCTTGTCCTATCTGAAGGGGCAGCTGATTTTCAGCTTCAGTCAGCAGTTGATGCATGGAAATGTGGGCCCGCTGTCTCCTTGCCTAGTACCTGATACCTTTTCATGACCTCCGTTTTCAGGTGAGGATATGTAGCTCCTGGGTAATGTTTGTAACCAGGTGTTTTCTCAGGGTTCCCATGGGATCCCCAGGGCTCTACCTGTCTCACATCTCTTTTTCTCCTGTTTTCCATCAGGTGGCAGCAGACTTCCAAGTCTTCAGGTTTGTCCAGCAGCTTACAGCCTGCGGGTGCCAAGGCTGATGCCCTCAGGGAAGAAATGGAAGAGGCTGCCAACAGAGTGGAGATTTGCAGGGTACCTGCCCTCTTTACTCCTCTCTACTGGGACAGGCTGGGGAGCCCTCAGGGATTTCCTTTTTGTTCACTGGAGTTCTCTTAACACTCTGTCAGTGAGCCTCTAGTTGAACTGAATGTCCCCAAGCCCACCAGCTAGTGTCTCCAAGGAGGCCAGGATGAACCCAAGGAGTTGGGGCTTTGATGGTGACCTAGACAGGGAGGCAGCATTCAATTCTTATTGAATAGGTTTTGGGGGAACAGGTGGTATTTGGTTACATGAATAAGTCTTTTAGTGATGATTTCTGAGATTATCTTGATTAGCTTGTAATAATAATTCAATTATTATTGAATTATCATTGGCAGTCTTGCATGTGAGGCAAAGAGAAATGACCTTTATTTCTGTGTGAAGCTTTTGTACATCATCTGAGTCCCAGAGTATAAATTCTAGGTGACACAGGACAGTTGAGAATTTGACCATAGATGAGCCTTGACTCACTGTTGATACTTAATTATTTCCATTCTTGGTTTCCTTTTGGTATTTCCTGAGTTACTTTATTCATCTTATGCCTTCTGGAAGACACTTATCTATGAAGTTGAAATACCAGCCATGAAGACAGTTACAGAAAAGGAAACTTCCTACTTGTTAAGAGAGAACATCATTCTGAAACCTGCGACTCTGTACTTGTGTAACGATGTCCTCTGCTATACTCATTCAAATGTTTTCCACCCCCTTTGCTTGCAAACATTTTATAGGACTTAGCATTTTATAGACCATTGGTGATGCTCTGTGTATATGTATACTTCTTTACCTGCATATGTGTCGGCTTGGGTTTCTAAGGAAACCAAAACTCTATTTAGATCCTAGGAACAAAAATATCACATTTCTGTAAGTATTCTGGGAACCTGCCTTAATCACATCCAGTTTTTAAGGAGAATAACCAGTTTGCATATGGACATCTCTGTTCTTCATGGCTCTGTCTAGTCTTAGCTTGTCCATTGGCTTTTTCTCCCACAGCCACCCTGTGGAAGTGGCTTTGTTGACCTTGCATTCAGGTGACGTTCAGAATCAGGTAGAATTTCTCTCTGGAATTAGAAACATTGAAATATTTTTAAAGAATGCATTATCTCCCAGCCTACTGTACTATGGAACCAAGCAAAGTGAGACCAATACTTCACAGACAAGATTTTTTGTGAGTACAGCTTGTCATTTGAACTGCATAAATGGCAAATATCTGGCCTGTGTGGTATTCCTGAAGTATAATTCTTCTCTCCTTCCAGTTTC